AATTTTTATAGGAATAAAAGAAATGCTTTTTAGTGGATTTATAATAAATAAATTGAATTAAGAGCATGTAAATACCACGATAATTAAGCATTATATCATGCCTATCTTTATTCTCATTCCGAATTTTTGTTTCACGAACTTAGTGTTTGGAACACTACTTTTCCTCAAAATCAGCAAACCAAATCCAAAATTGTATAACTTAGTAAAATTCACACGGTAATATATATTTATGACTCAACTTAATACCCTAAGCGTTTATTCCAGAATTTTTAGCTGTGTTAGTGAAATTGAAAAATAAATAAATCAATCAAATCTTTAATGGGAAGCTCATGCATTTTCACCAGTAGACCTAATTGTATGTAATTTCTCATAATATGGGTCTATAATTACCACGCACATTAGTCTTATGCAACATCTCAAATAATAATCCTCCCAAAGTCTCTAAAAGAGCGTTGAGACTCCTCAAATAATAATCCTTGAGCAGGAATTTGGGATTGTTTCAACATCTCAAATAGTTCATGTACATCATCAACATCCTCAGCCTCCGGTTTGTTTTGCAAACAATGTCTAATGCCAGATAGCATCATGCCAGCAAAAACACATAATCTTTTTAGGAATTGATTTTTGTCTAGAAATCTCAGATCGACTTTATATAATTGAAGGGTCAGCGTCTATATTTTGAATATAGTGCTTAATTGGTTGGATTTTTTCCAGCCATATAGGATAACTTGATTGTAGGCTATATCTATATGTGACTGTATAGTACCTTGAGGTTTAATTTGAGGCTAGCTTGACCTACTTCTCTGGTTTATTTAAAACTATATATGTAATAACAGCCCTCGTTATCATATACAATGGGTTGTCGTACGGATCTCACCTATCTAGCAATGATATTTGTTTGTTTTCTCATTAAAAAAATTAGATTTTTTTTTTTTTTTTACTTAAAATGGGAATTTTTAAATTCGATTTACATAATATATATATATATATGAGATGAATAAAAGAGAATTGTATATAGTTGTGCAAT